TGGTAGCACGGTGTGTTACATGTTGGGCTGCTAATCTCAACGCTAGCCGTTCGAAACCACCAGCCAGTGCTAGTGAGGAAGATGAGCCTTCCTATTCTAGACTTACATCTCAGAAACGCCAAAGGGCAGTTTTACTCATTTCTATAGGACCGCTATGAATCAGAATCAACTGGATGGCAGTGACCCTGGTTTGGAGTTTGGAGTAACTGTAATGTCGGCAGTTCAAATCCACCAGAATGCACGAGAATGATGAGGCGGTCCATGCTTGCGTAGATTTACAGGCTTGGAAACCCCAAGTGGCAGTTCTTTTTTTTCCCCTAAAGGGCAGCTATGACTTAGAATCAACTTAATGGCAAGTTTGTTATTTTTATTTCCTCTCCTATTGTTGCTATTTAAAGACTTGGTTTACAGTGCATCTTTGGAAAAGATTTCAACGCGTACACATGAGCAGCTACCTAGTTATCCATCATGAATAAACAGGTGGAGGTGGTTACCCTAGAGTGCAGTCCACCTTGCGGCGATCCCCCGTGTGCAGAGATTTGCTCCAGAAAATTTTCAAGACTGGGACCTTTCAAAAGCAGATTGCCAGACCTGACTTGTGGGCATTTCAGTTAGGAGTCATGCGTTTAACCTTGCGTGGCACATCCTGAGCATAGAGGGAGCTTTGGGAATCACAAGCCATTCCAGGTCCAAGTGAGGAATCGCATTTACATAAGCATACATTCTGCAAATGACTGAAAGTCAAGCCAGGACAAGCACCTACTTGCGGGTGCAACTTACCTTTTCTGCCCACAAGCACCCACAATCATCTCAAGGCAAAGCTCAGTTTCTAAAGGCAACAGAACTATGTTGAAGTTGTCCGTGCAAGCGAGGGAGCAAAAAGAACGCCATCAGGAAGATGAAGATTAGTACCTGAAGAATTTCAGGTTCTAACCTAAATGAACACTATCTTTAAAATCTGGAAAGTATCCCTTTCCTTAAAAGTAACTATAGCTCACCGCATTAGAAAAGTGCACGTGGAGGCCTCAGATATATCGCATGAATTGGCTAAAGGCAATTGAGTACTATTAGAAATTGACAAAGAACATTCTTTTCTTAGGGAAAGAATGTATGAAATGGAGACGTGTTAATTGAACCCTGCTGTGCTAGGCAAGGAAGAAGCTGACTTTCATGGAGTACAACCAAGAATAATCCACTCTGTCTCCAGAAGTGGGATTGCTTAAACGATGGATGGGAACAAAGCTGCACTTAATGCATTAAATGTAAAATTACGTTCTACTGCAATGTTTCTTCCATCAGTATATTGAGAAATTACGAAGGAAAGAATACATTTTGTTCATCTCCCTCCGTGTGATGCTATTCAGCTAGTCACGAGGAGGAGGCAAAAAGATCCCTCTGTTGTTTGCTACTTACATGACTTGAGGTGGGGCGGGAGAGGGATGTCTGCTTACAGCCTCTGAAATCGATGTATATATTGACATGTGCCTAACAACGGAGCATTCTGATTACTGGATCACGGGATTGCAAATGCAGTTTTGAGGATATAATTGACCCTCTGTCATCCTCCTCCATCAGAATCTTGGGTACAAGAAAATGTCATCCCACTCATCGGTTGCATGGATCACGAAGTGGCAAGAAGCAAGATCAGCGTTTGGCTATGTTTTCAGGCAGGTTTCAGAAACTGGGAGACCAGAAGCAGTCAAATTGCAGAGAGGGGATGAAGCAATAAGAGCAGAGAGGGGCCATGAAAAAACATGACAGGGAGTCCTGATGAGGTTTGAGGTCTTGTTCCAATATCCTGTGGATGCATGAGTGAAGACATCAGTACAATCATTCCTCATTTCTCCTAGGCAGATTTAAGAACAAGTGATGGTCAAGCCAACTGGGGCAGCCAGGGAGGACAAACTAAAATGCATAGATTTTTTTTAATTTAGGAGAAACTAAAATGTATCTACTTCATTAAAAAGGGTGTCAGATTTAATTATCCTGCATACTGTTTTATGCCTGGCACAAAAGTAGGTGCTTAGTACATACAAGCACATCTTGACTGAATTAACATGCGATCATTTCTTACGTAGGCTTAGAAGAAGGAGAAATGGAGTGATACATGGATTGCCTCCTGAGGAAGAAATCATAAAATACTGCTATTTTTTAAAAACCTGCAGAGGGACAATATGCTACAGTGTTCGGCGAGAGGCATCGCAGTGAAAACTGACTCCAGCTCCACATGCCAGGGATGTGATCTTAGATAGGTGAGTAGCCCTCAGTGCCTCAGGTTCCTCGCGGTGAAAAGCGACATTTCCTCATCTGACAATAATGATTGTACCTACCTTAAGTAAGCATTGTGGGCTTATATGAAAATTAATATGTGAAAAGTGCTTGGAACAGTGTCTGCTAGAAGGCATGGTTGTGAACTGGTGTTTTAATAGCTTGTATCTCTAGTCCCCCCAAACCTAGACAACAGTATTTAGCAGTAAGTCATGATTTGTGCTGTTCTCCAATTCTTTTTCATGTGTACTCACCCTATCCCCCAGAGCCATTTGCACCGTGGACAACAGAGGACAGCGGGGAGGATCTCTGAGGTTTTCATAGATGAGGAAACCAGACCATCTAGGAACTTGTCCAAAGCCACATCCCTGGTGATGGTACAATCCCGAGGATTCAGATCAACCAGGTAAAAAAGATGCATATGCAAAATGGATATCCATCCCTGAGATGCTAAAAGCCTTAGGATAGGGCTTTGTGCTTGATATTTAGACTTTTGCTTGGGAATATGCAATCAAAAATTAGAACCTGCAGTATTTTGTAGGAGCTTTTGTGAGATGATTTATTACAGATATTGATTGTACTAAGGTCTTACTGGTTTTTTCCCCTAGTTATATAATTTGTATGAAATTGATTAAAAATGTTTGGTGTTAACATGAAAGGGATAAATCACTCATTGTGACATACGGGCCCCTGAGGATGTAAGGTCTATTAAGAACAAAGAAACAAATATAAAACTATTCGATTCTAAAGAAAACTTCAGTCATAAAACAATTTGGAACATTCTTCAGACTAATTATCTTTATAAAGCAGACTGCTATTTTTGCAGTCTCTAATCAGTGCAAGTATTCTGAGTTCAGGCCTGTTAGTCTGACTACTTAGCTCCAATAGTAAATGCCCCCCACCCATTGTCTAAACTGTTAAGCAATTAGAAATCCAAGCCATTTATCTAGAAGAGGATAGTTTATATCCTTAATTCCATTTCCCTGTTTTTAAAGTACCTACAATATATTGAAATACAACTTTCCTTGAACATATTTTTCACTTCCATAAATGCATATTTGAGTTTAAAGTTGGTCCTCATTACTAAAGAGCAGTTGAGGCCCAACCAAGCTCTAAAGAAGTCCTATGATCCGACTCCTGGACTGAAAAAAAACACACACAAAAACCAACTGTCACGTGATTGTGGCTTTAAAATTTTGAAACATCAAATCAACCATTGAATAATTTAGATTCTAGCCCCAAACAATGTTTTTTTCAGCAGAAAATGTAGTCCAGAAAAAAGAAGCTCAAAGACCTAGTTATTGGTTTGATTAGTTTTTTTCAATCAACATTTCAATTATACCCCAAATTCATGAATCTAAGAAAACATTTTACTGGACATAGTGGCATCTTTCATTAACCATTACTTGCTAGAGTCTGCAAAAAATGTTTTTATAAAGAGACAGCTGTCTTATAACTCAACAAAACTAAGCTATCATAAGTTTCTCCTGAAAAAATTAAAAAAAATAAAGTTTGATCTAAACATTTTACTAAAGTGAGAATCTTCCATTCAAAAGATTGTGAATTAAATAACTCCTAAGAGCTGTTTGAAATAAAAATTTACTTACACATGGAAACAGATTTCAAGAGCATAAAGAAAAACAATAAAAAATATCAGCGACAGTAGATACTGCTCAATGGAGGAAAAAAGACCAGCTTCTGAGAGGGCATGCCTCTTGATCTGTTCGAGACTATTTTTAAAGGGCTCTCTTTCAAATCTATTTTGAAATCTTCATCTCCAATAAAAATACTGATAGGGACCTATCCTGGAAGAAAAAGAAAAATTGCCTTCAGCTGTTGGAGAGTCCCCAAGTTATTCTGCTCTCTTGTGGTGAATGGCTTTGTTCAATAGTTGTGAACATGCTATTTTTGAAGGGTAACGAAAGGGTGGTTTTAAGATCAGTTTCTCTGTCTCAATATTTAAGGATTTGTATTTTAATTTTAATCTAATAACAATGTAGCTGTTTACACTGCTTCGGAGTGATTTTCCCCAAACCCGTTCAGAATTGATCTGTTGCAATATCCCAGTATGTTTATAAAGAAAGTAGCTATCATTTCAACTCAACATGAATTTGACATTTAAATGCCTTCCAGATATAAGAAGTAGTTGGAAGATGATCTGAATAAACCCCTTCGAAAATGTGATTTGGTTCTTCCAGAGTGGGTACAGTAAATGAGAGATACCTCTATTTTCTTTGAAAGTTCCTATAATTAATATGTAGGTTATTTCCAGTTACATGAATCGTATGAGTTGGATACATTTAAATAGTGCTGATAAAATGAATTGTGTCAAAATAGGGTCACTATTGGACAGATGAAATAAATACACAGCTATTGTTTCAATTTCTCATGTGCTTAACAAAATTCTAGCCCATTAGGGCAACAGAGGTGTAGTCTGCTTAACCAATCGACTGAAGAATAATTACAAGTTGCTCATGTAGATCTTAAACAACTCTAAGGGGTTGGTATCTCTTTATTGTTTCATAGTACGGAAGAGAAGCTTTGAAAATCACCACCGAGTGGAATGAGATTCTTTTGTTTCACTTTTCAAGAAACGTTCTATTTCCTACCCTGGAATTTTCAGACCGATGAACCTTAATAGAAAACAAAGCTGTTGTCTCTTATTAAAAAGCCCCCCTTCCATTTCAGAGAGAGACATCGAGGTAGCGCATTAAGTAAATAGATGCACTTACCTGGAATTAAAGTTCAGAGAGTAGGAAACGCTTGTGAAAGTTGCAATCGGAAAGAATCTGAACCGGTAATATCCGCTACCATCGACTCAGGCTTTGGGGCTTAACAAGTAGCAGCAGCACTGGCCCCAGCACCCTCACGTTATGTAATACCTTATTAATATTAGCCATCAGACTGCTACCAAGCCGGCGCGGCACTAGAGGGCAAGAGTGTCACATACAAGACCCGTCGCCCAGGGACTGGCTCTGGTACCACTCCGGAAAGACAGATGCTAAGTAAGCTGATAAATCACAAGCTGCCCGACCGCCACCGCGAACTTGTAAGGTGCCTGAGAAAATACCTTACATGCCAATGGTCGGACTCCCGAAGAGTTGGCAGGTGAATAAGGATCCACAAACCCACAGGCGCGGCATGCAAAACTTTCGGGGTTCTATTCGCACCACCGACCGTCACCCGGGGGGGGGGG